AGGATTTTTAAAAAGTCCTTGACATTGAGATTTCCCTCAGTCATCAGGGTTAGATTGAAGGTGAAATGAAAAATAGACAGAAAGGACTAAGATAAAATAGGCATGAAACAATCCTGCATTAATTCTTCAAGATAGGGTGGATGGTGTGGTTTTGGACCTTGTCTCTGAAGACAGCTGGTAATACTGGCAAAGACAGTCAGACAGTCAGAGGATAGCAATGGGGAAATCTAATCATTTATTTGCAACTGATTTTGTTTCAAATCTTCCCCTCATAACTATAAAGAATTGTGAATTTTTGTGAATTCTTCAGAAATGAAAAATGCCTCAAATTTTCCCCCATTTGTATTGGTCATATTGAATAAACACAGCTATTCACAGCATGTTGCCTGTCTGACAATGGATAAAAAACCTCTGGGGGGAAAAAGAGGACAGAAACCTAATTCAGCATTGTTGTGGTCAAATCACAGGGATTTAGTATGTTTTAGCCATAGGCCCTCCTAAGCTAATGCTATTTCTGAAGAAATAAATTTCTGGAGAAAGAAGCAGAGTTGTCCCAGCATTGTACAAAGAAGGAAGCAGGTATGAAAAGAAGATCTATGCAGTGAAACCTGTTCAGTGTGTTCCCAATATTTGGGATGCCCTAACACTGTGGTTCTGTGAAACAGACTGGATTCCAATTTATCAAAAGGATGCAAAAGGGCCTTTGGAAAACATAAACTTTTAAGGGTCTGAAAATGTGCCTCTGCTAGAATCCACTGGTTAGGTGAAAGAAAGTAATTCATTGGTCAAATTCTGTTGTGCGGTTTTGCCTGTACAATATTACAATGTTGCCTCTACATTGTCAGCGGCAGATTGCTACTGATCACATTTTTGGTAGATTTCAATGTATACACAGCTTGCATGCAAAAAGATGATGTCATGTGCAACCCAAAATTGAAAACATTGTGCAGGCAGAACCTACCCAACAGGATTTCAGCCATCTCATCTAAAACAAGCAGCAAAAAACTCTACGTAGCAGAAATGACCTCACTGAATCTGCAATCTAACAATGTTTGGGAATGACTGAGATTCCAACAAGATAGGGGAGCTCTCACTCTCAAAGAAAATGCTGTGTTTCCACAAAAATAAGACAGGGTCCTATATTAATTTTTGCTCCAAAAAAACACTTTAGGGCTTATTTTCAGGGGATGTTCTATTTTACAGTCATGTCATCGTCTTCTGGTTGCACAATGGTGGAGGGTGAGGTTTCACTTAACTGGGGCTTATTTTTGGGGTAGGTCTTATATTATGAGCATCCTGAAACGTCATACTAGGTCTTATTTTCAGGTTAGGTCTTATTTTCGGGGAAATAGGGTATGTAAAAAAAAACACAGATTTACATGTATAATCTGGAAATCCATTATGACAATTTAAATAGATATGCAATAACAGAGAAGACAAGTTAGCAACCATGTGGCCTTTGTGACTGCTCTATCTACTGTCCATTTAGTAACTGTAGATGAGCAATTTCGAGACTTTATTCTTCCTTCTTATGTTTCTTCATATTAAAACTGGGCTCAGACCGGACAGCACTTCAAATGGAGGATGTCTTTGAGCAAAGAATTGTCCTCTGGCAATTTTTCAGATGAAGGAATGTTCTCTATGAAGTAGACAATCCATAACTAGATAACGCAGGACAGCTCAATCATCACCATGGCTGCAAGGACTGTGACATGTCCCCTGTGACCACAACCTGATTCCCTCAACCAAAGGGCTCACCTGGTTTACGCTCTTTCTTTCATTTGCTGCCACCAATGGATTTCCTTTATCCATGCTGTAAAAAAGATATCATTCAGACATTTGCCGCCAAATGAACTTTGTTTATTTAAGTTTATTAGGGAAAATCAGAAATTCAGATGTTCTTTATTCATTTCATGTATATCAAGTCAATATACATTCCATCACCACCAGTATTATGTGTTCACTTTAATCAGTTGTTTATTATTATTATTATTATTATTATTATTATTATTATTATTATTATTATTATTATTATTATTATTATCATCATCATCATCATCTCTCTTTACTTTCCTGACTATGTCTCTCTCTCTCTCTCTGCAATCACTTCTCTCCTTCTCTCTTAACTCCCTCCAACTGTCTAACTCCCTAACTGACTAACTGATCCCGCCCCTCCAGTCCTCTCATAGGCTCATGCAAATGAGGTTCCACTATGAGTGACAGGAGTGACGTAAGGCATTCATCACAAGGACATCACCAGTTTTAGAGGGGAGGGGGCCAACCTCCAGATTTGGCTAACAGTGTGGTAAAAAAGATGTTATCCTAAGGAGAATTACCCCAGGTGTCTTCCATATGCAAAAAGACAGTACATGAAAGAAACTGTGGAGTGAAAGGAGAAACATACAGTGTGGGAAACTCCCCACCCTCTTTAACGGCAGCAGACTTTGGAAAAATCAGAGGAAGCACAGCTGTGTCCATCATCCTCTGCTATACCAAGTGAACATAAAACAGATCCCATCAGTAGAAACCCTTGACTGATGGGCTATACTGCAGTATGAATATACTGAACATATTTGTTAGTACTAAAGTGTCTCCATATACAGCATCAAGCATAAGATTATCCTACAGGGTCCCATTGTTCCCATGCATTCAAACATGTGCTAAACATTCAGGGCAGCAGAAAAATCTTACAGAGAGAGAAGCAGGGGCAGGGAGAGATCAGGGCAAATCGCCCATAGCTCATACCATCTGAGAACTTGGATGTGGCTGTCAAATCTCTCCAAGTGGACACAGAAGTGGCACTAGCTGGGAGACACTAATGTGGCAAAATTCCCAGATAACTCTTTGGCAATATTTGTACAAACCCCTGACTGGTTTCTGAAGCTGCTAATCTCTGGTTTCAAAGGCTGCAGGGCCCCTTGAGCAGACTTCATCATCTTGCTCTGTGGCTTCCCTATGAGAAGGGAAAGCTATGAATGGGCAGTGTATAATGTGTATTTGTGTGTGCTTGTGAATGTGCACATGCGCACATATAAGACATAGAGATTTCTGTATCTTTCAACAAAGATTTATTTCAGTCTAAAGAAATATCACAGACCAGCATTATGTAAAGACTCTAGAAAGGTTTATATTAATTCCATCAGTTCACACACACAAATTTATCCCAGCATGAGAATGGAGGGGGGGGGGAACCCACACACTTACACAAGATAAATGGAAGAAAATTCTACTATGTTTTCCCAGAGTCAGAAAAAAAAGTATGTAGTTCATAAATTCCACCCAGAGCTTGGGGATTTTTGATGTAATGAGTTTCACAGTTTCAGAGGAGGCTGCTTTGCTAATAATTATGTAACAGTAATTAAATCTGAAAAAGGCTGTACTCTAACTATGTTGATTTATTGCATCTCCAGCAAAGTACTCCTAAGGCATGCAATGGAGGCTGCACCTCCCTCCTCCAGTTTTCCTTTAAATTCTCATGGAGCACTGGGTCACAGATGGTCTGAGATGTGACAGTTTCCCTATTAAATTCCTAATAATCCTCCTCCTCCTTCTTTTTTTTCCTGAGGTTGAGTCATGGAGGCCTGGGGATTTCTCATTTTAATTAGAAGGTTTAAGGCACTAACTCTGTTTGAAATGCCCTCCCAGGATAGATGGGTGCAGGTGATCCCATTCAGAAGAAATGATACAATATTCAGGCCAGTGGCTCATTTCCATATTAGATTGCATTGAGCTTTTGGCAAAGGCTTGAACCTGGATCCTGATGAGGCACTGACTGAGCTACCATGAACTTTTACCATTTGGAAGAAAAGGAGGTGGCTTTAGAATTAGATTTGAAAGCATGTTTTGGCTTTGTTACACTCAAACCCACTGACTTCAGCCTACAGCCTTTATCTTGTGCTACTTAGTGAGGAAGGCAGAAAGTGTAGTTATGTCTTACTTTATAATCTGGCAGTTGCAGTCTAAGCAGGCTTGATTTGGAAAGCACCAAGCCATTAAAGGGGTTATTTGTTCTCCTATACACCAGTAGCAGTTAGTTCCTCAGTCCATGTTCTGTCACCAGTTTATGCTCTGTCCATGTGTTTTGTGGTCTGGAAATCAGATTGCAGCCCTGAACACATTTCATAGAATCATAGAATTGTAGGGGTGGAAGAAATGCCAAGAGTCATCAGGAAATGATGGAAATCTGAGGAAATAGGAGATCTATAGCTAAACCATGCCTAACAGATGGCCATCAAACCTCTTTTTAGAAATCTCCAGTGAAGAAAGTCCACCACCTTTTGAGGTTCTCCATTATATTGCTGAACAGCTCTTAATACAATATGCTCTTTCTAACATTTAATCAAATCTCCTTTATTTTACTTTGAATGTATTGCTTTGGGTCTTACTAGGCTTGTTCCATCTTCCATATGGCAGCGGAATGTATTTAAAGATGCCTGTCATATCATCTCCCAGTCTCCTCCAGGTTAAACATACCCAACTCCCCCAACTATTCTTCAGAGGGCTAAGATTTCCAGACTTTATACCATTTTGGTTGCCCTCCTGTAGAGCAGTGGTTCTTAACCTTTGTTGCTTGGATGTTTTTGAACTGCAGCTCCCAGAAACCCCAGCCAGCACAGTTGGTGGTGAAGGCTTCTGGGAATTGCAGTCCAAAACTCCTGAGTAACCCAAGGTTAAGAACCAGTTCTCTAGAGCATTTTAGGTTGTAAATAACCATCTTAAGCTGTGGTGCACAGAAGTAGACACAGTGTGTCAGTTGAGTTCTGACTAGGGTTGCCAGACATCTGGCAAAAGGAGGACATGTCCTCCTTTTCAAGCTAATGCTTTAAAATGTCCAGCTTTTCTATCTTCACCCCCATCCCCTGAAGCCAAACCTCTCCCTCCTTCCTTGGTTGCGACACTTGTAAATCTTCCTTTCTTTTAGAGATCGGAGATAAACCGGCTTGATTGGTTACAGCTGTACAACTGCTGGGGCAGTCAATGACCGCTTCTGCTGGAGGTGACTGAGAGCAGGAGGGAAAACTTCAGTTAAGGAGGGAAGAAAGGTGCAAGAGAGTGACGGATAGCTTATAGAGCTTGTTTAAAGGTAAGATTGTAGAAAATTTAGAGAGGGAGGGAGGGTGTATGTGAGAGAGAGACCGACTTTTATAAAACCATGAAAAAAGGACATGACTGCAAGACAGAGAAGGTTCAAAGGTGCGAGAGAGGGACAGCTGGAAATGGACATGAGAGGAAATGGACATACTGAACTGAAGAGGAAATGGGGATACTGAATGAGAGGAAATGGACATACTGAACTGAAGCAACTGATTGTTGAACACTGAGGAAGGGTTTGTGGGGGGGATGAGACACACACAGAGAGAGACCTGACACTTCCATAAAACCATGAAAAAGGAACCTTGCAAAATTTAATCTCCACTGCATTGAGCTCTGCAATTTCTGCTGAGAACAGCAAGTATTTCAAGATTCTGTTTAGACTCTAAATTGAACTGGGCAGAACTGGAATATTTAGCAGAGTCTCACTAACATCAAACACCTAGTAAAAGACAACTGACACACCTGGGACTAGATTTCTGAAGTGTGTAACAATCATGTCTCTATGTTTCTCATGCCCAAAACAGGCAAAAGTATCATAGGTTATTCCCAAATCTGAATCCCAGTCTCTCTGCTCCTGGTCCTGCTTTAACTGCAACACTAAACAAAAGGTCTTACGACCAAAAGATTCAATCAACCACCTACTATGATAGAAAAAAAAATTTGAGAATGATTTTTCAGAAGTTTACCTTTGGTTTCTGCATTCCTTGATGTCTATCTTCCAAGTTAATATTGCGGCCATTGAAAGGGAAGAAACATCAGTGTTAGAGGTTATGAGCTGTCACACACACTCAGTTCCCCTGTTTGTTTTTCTACACACTCAGGTTCCCTTTCGGCCATGACATGTACTTTTCACCCTTTTTTTGCTGCCACCAGAAGATATATTCCTCTCTCTACCAAATACAACTATTAGATCAGTGTCATCCAAGATAACAAGGTTTATTTATGTGTTTGTAGGTAAATCATATAAAGAAAAATCATGGATGGTCTTTTATTATTCATTCAATAAACATTGCTTTGATTACATTTAGGTTTGCTTATGTAGATTCACTTTAATCAAGGTATATATAAATTCAACTATTTATTTATTTCTTAGCACCTCTAACTCTTTCCAATCTTAACCACTTAAACTTTCCAAGACTTGTACTATTCCTACCTCTTTCTCTATTTATTACTCTTCTCTCTAACACAACCATGGCCCTAACTGCCTAAACTGTCTTTAACTGTCTTTTCCCCCCTTTATTTTCCTGATTCCACCCCTTCTGCCATGTCATTGGCTCCTACATTAGAGCTCTGACCTGACTGTCAGGAGTGTTCTGAGAGCTGTCCATCACATACCTCCCCCCTTGGAAAGGTTTGTGCCATGGGGTAACTTCTAAAGTGGGTTAACCTCATGTACAACAATTGCAATTTCATACTATTTCCATTTAACAATTTGCTCTCTCTCTCTCTCTTATCTATCTATCTATCTATCTATCTATCTATCTATCTATCTATCTATCTATCTATCTATCTATCTATCTATCTATCTATCTATCTATCTATCTATCTATCTATCTATCTATCTATCTATCCTTATTCTTATAACACATTTACCATCTTATTAATATTTTTATTTTCTATTTAAATTATCCTTATCATTATATAACTCTTTTCTTTTCATCATACATTTCACCAACTTTTACTTACTATTTATCTCTATATACTTACATTTTAATCAATTTTCATTTTAATACGCTTTTAGAACTTTTAATTATACCAGTTTTATCACATTTAAAGCTACACATTATATAACTTTTTCATTTATTTACAACTTGCCCTTAATTTTAACACTACATTGCAGAACACTACATTGTAGAACATAACCAGAAACTTTGATTACAGTATCATTTCTAATATTTGTCATTACAGGTTTTTCTTCTTCACTCTTCAGCCTTCTGATAACGGGTCTCATTGCTTTCTGTTATCCATTGGGGCTTCGAGGCATTTCTAATATTTGTCATTACAGGTTTTTCTTCTTCACTCTTCAGTCTTCTGATAACGGGTCTCATTGCTTTCTGTTATCCATTGGGTCTTCGAGGCTATGCGTCTGCAATCTTATTCTGAGTCTTTCTTTTGCTTGGGTCTCACAACTAAAGGCTTTCAGATTTTGTATTCCTCTTGCAAGTTTGTTGGCTTTGTATTTCACAGTTCGTAACCTCACATAAAGTTTTGGTCTTTGCAATGTCCAGTCAAAAGACAATCTTGCCTTCCAGTTATCCAATAAATGTCTCTCACCTGCTCGGTCTTTCTTGTTTTCTGCCTGGCTCAGCACGGCTCCTGGTTTGAATGCGGACACATCAGTGATGATGGTGAAGTCACTCTGGACCTCTGGATCTCTCGTTTCACAGTTCGTAACCTCACATAAAGTTTTGGTCTTTGCAATGTCCAGTCAAAAGACAATCTTGCCTTCCAGTTATCCAATAAATGTCTCTCACCTGCTCGGTCTTTCTTGTTTTCTGCCTGGCTCAGCACGGCTCCTGGTTTGAATGCGGACACATCAGTGATGATGGTGAAGTCACTCTGGACCTCTGGATCTCTCGCGACACGACTGGCCATCACTGCAGTCTGCGACTTCTTGAAGGTCTCCTGGTATCCCATCGACCACATGGTCCTCTCAGCTTTTCTCTTGGCTTTCATCTTTTCTAAAGGAGAGGCTATATCTCTGGAATTGACTATCCAATAGCCTGGTATCCTTTTCAAAACTTTTACTCTTGCTTCTTTTATTTGGTCTATGAGCAGAGTGAAGCTTATTACTATATTCTTAAAGTTATAATAGTGCACTCTTCTACCTTCCCAGTATTGCATTTCATATTTTCTTTTGAGCTTTTCTCTTTTTTCATACTGTATAAAATTTTCTTTCTTGCACCAAAATCTTTTCAGATAAACTTGGACCAATTTTCTACTTTCCCCTCTATCTTTCTGAATCTTGTAATTTACTTCTTTCATTTTGGTAATAATTTTAAAAGGACCTGACCAATTTAATTGTAATTTATTTCCTTTTGTTGATCTTAACGTCAAGAATTCCTCTCTAAGATAGAACGATATTCCATTAACATTTTAAATGTTGTCTAACTTTTGTTTCTGGATAAAGCAACTTTGCTTGGGTTTTCTTTTAATCATACAACCCGCTTCAGACCAGTTATTAAGTTGACTTTCCAGGAAACCTTTTCTTCCCCAACTTTCTTTTGTTGCTTTAGTGGGTACTTCCTGACTTTCTTGTGATTGTGTATATATGAAACTATTAACATGCTTCATCCAGTTCAAACCCCCTGTATCAACTACAGACTTTTCTAAGTGTACCTGAGTCAGTGGATTGAAACTCTTATTAGATTTTTCAATATACTCTTTGTGAATATCATTTATCTTCTTTTCTCACTATTGGAATTTTGACTAGAGTTTTTCACTAAGTATTTCTTAGCTATGCCTGCTACTTCAGGTCTCATTTTTTCCCTCAGAATCTCCCTGTCTTTGGTAAATGTCACAACTTTGACCATGTTCTTTTATTTGTTTCTCCATCTTTGGCCAGTAATAACATTGTGTTATTCCCCCCCCTTGACTCCAACATGACCTTCAAAGGAGTCTAAATATCCTTTTTCTATTATTTGCTCTCTATATTTAAAAGATATAACCAGTTGTTTATTGATACTTTCCCCTCCCCTTTTAGGGTTTATTATAACCTCTCTATATAGTAAGTCTCTGTCCACTACAAATTTTTCAGGGAATTCAGGGGTTACTGGTTCTTCTTTGACTAGATTAAAACGTTGTTGCAAAGTACGATCCTGTTCTTGTTTTAGTTTAAAACTTTTTTCTGAGAATATGTTACAGCTACTACTTCCGCTATTTCAGTTGATTGACTTCCACTTAAGTCTTCCTCATGAATCTCATTATTCTCACCAGGGTTTTCTATCTTTTCTCTCTGTGAGTGTGTATTGATCAAAACACTTTTGACATGCCCAATTAAACAAGATGTAGGAATCTGATTCACAATCACTACTTTCCACATACCAGTCCACTCTTTATATTTTATATGTACATTAGTTACAGATAGATTAATCAATTCTGTCCCAATTCCTTTAACTATAATTTTCACATTTGGAATTATACCTTCCTGTGGAATAATATCTGTATGGCATATAGTTATCTGAGAACAAGAGTCTCTTAATGCTAAATATTTGGTATTATTAATGTAATTTTCAACAAAACGTCTCATTAACTCCATGTTGCTTTCTATAAAGTAACGTTGAACAATCTCTGCCAGAGGCAGTTTTTTCTGACTCTCTGTTGTGTCAGTTACAGCGCCAACTTGAACTACCTCAGAGTCCTCTGTCTGCTATTGGACATAGTAAAACTTCTTTGGCACAATCCCCCCTGCTTTCTGTTGACTAATTTCTTTATTATTAGATTTTAAACATTGTGAAATAAAATGCCCTTTTTCTCCACATCCAAAGCGCACTTTCATCTTTTTTGATCAAAATCAAGGGATTTTTCTCCCCTCCCTTCAAAGCTTTTATTTTTCTGTTGGTACTGCTCTGAGGGTCTGTTCCTAAAATGGCTTCCAGTTGCCAGTTTGTTCTTGTGGGCCTCTTTCTTTCTATCTTCCCAATTTCTGCCCTCCAATTTTATTTCAGAAAATCTCAGGTTTTTAATTTCAGCTATAAAATCTGCTGTCTCATTTGTCCATTGAACTGTTTTTGGCTGTTTGTCCCTGACTAAATATCTTAGTTCACTTGGCAACACTGAAAAAATTGTTTTAAACCTATGATGTTTTTCATATCTTCTATTGCTCCCACACCAGCTTGTTCTAGCCATTTTTCCAAATATTTGACTAGATTAGCCCCAAATTGAGCATATGATTCCTCAGGCTTTTTAATTGTCTACATTTCCTTCTGAGATGTTCAGTATTTATTCCAAACCTTGAAAAAACTAGTTTCCTGAAGGCTTCATAATCCC